CCGGATGGCTATAGGGTCAAGGGCCGTCACTACAGAGGGATGCACCGCCCACTTCGACCTCAGTCCTCATTGGAGGCGAGGAAGCGGAGGGGCTGGCCCGTTCCTGTCGCCTTGTTGATCTATTGGTTAAACGGCCTGCCCATCGATTGATCGGCACGCCTCATCCGCTGGCCGTGGAGATGGTTTTGTGCGACCCAGCTGGGAGAAATAGAGACCCCCCATTGGCTCGATTGGCTAAGAGTGCCATAGTTGCCCAAGGCCTTATCATCACGATTGGCTCTTATAAACGTCACTCAGACTGACACCGAATGTCGCATTTCAATTGGTGAAAACCCGCCGCGGGCGGGATTTCTCTTATATTGACTCATTGCTTGAGAACACAGCAACTGCAGCAGGTGTAACGAACCGCCTATTGGTGTTCGACCACGGAGAGGCGGGGCTTTGTCTCGTGGTCCCGTCATCCTACGGCGTATTAATCCTGTCGTTCAAATGAATGGCCCGCCTTCTCGCCCGCCCTCAAAGGGCTTGAAAAACATGAAAAAGCACCAACTCGCAAGGCATGATGGGAGGCGAAAGGCCTGGGGGGGAAAAAGTGACTCGGGCTCCTGAGAGCGCAAAGGATTGTGGGCGATATTGGCCAACCTGCACTTCCGGCCAGGGGAAAAAGGTGCTGTTTTTAAAAAATATGAGACTTGTGCTTAAATCCAGGGCAGAAGGACGTTTAAAAATTGCCTTAGAGTCCAGTGTTTCTCAACCTTGACCATTTTAAGGCATGTGGACTTCAACTCCCAGAATTCCACAGCCAGCAATGCTGGCTGTGGAATTCTGGGAGTTGAAGTCCACATGCCTTAAAATGGTCAAGATTGAGAAACATTGCTTTTAGACTAAGGCTCTCCAAATGTGGCAACTTTTAAGACTTGTGGACGTCAACTCCCAGAATTCCTCAGCCAGCCTCCCTCGCAGGGGTGTTGCTCAGATAAGAGCTGGGAAAACCTGGATAAAACTTGGCAGCAAGGTGGTCCTGGCGCCTGCAACCCTGGTTGCTTTTTCAGCTCTGCAGACCCAACTCCGCAAGGCAGCTTCGTCCATGAGGACTAGAACCCTGAGGAGGCCGGCGTCTCAGGCCCAGCAAAAGAGCGAGATCCTTGGCGGCCTCTCCTTGAAGCGGCTTTGTCCTTTGTTCCTCCACCTGCCTCCGTGCCAAGCCAGATCTTGATCTCCCTGGTCCAGCAGCCCAGCTTGGAACAATCTTCCCTTTGTGCTTCTCTAAGGCCAGGGTCTCCGTCTCCCCCTCCCCGAGGCTGGGCTTGGACGCCTTCCGAGGCCGCCGTGACGAGGCTCTTTTCCCCGAAGGGAGAGCGGTGGCCTTGCTCGGGCCCAGTCGGGGCAAACGGCCAGGCCCGGAGCCTCCCTTTCAAAACGCGCCTTGTTCACCGTATCGGGTGGTGCAATCCGACCTGGACAAAATGCCAGGAAACGGAGACGAATCTTCTGTCCAGCCAACTGGTCTTCTCGGACTCTGAAACAAAGGCTGCCTTCTTGTTTCACCTTTCCCGGCGTTTCTTGCAACAGGAGAGGTGAAATGGACGGCTTTGTTTTCAGCTTGGGCTAGTCCTTCTCCCCTGCGCTCTTTCAACTTCTGTTCTTTTTTTTTTTCCTTTCACCTTTTAGAAATAAATCCCTTATTCAATGGGCATTGGGTTGCAAAGGAGGGCTGCAGCAATACACTGGCCTGAATCTTCCCTTTCTGCTTCTCGCCGTGGACCTTGGCCAACGGTGACCAAACTAAGACTTTTTTTTGGAGCGTGGGAAGAGATAAAGCAATAACCCTCACCTCCCAAAAAATTATCAGGATTTTGAACTGCCTAAACGTAACTTTCATAACTTTCTTTTGAAAAAGGTAGAGTTACCCCGTAGTATCCCCAGTCTCCGCAGTGGGATGGTCTCCCTTTTCTCAAATAAAGGGACTTTCCTTCCTGTTTCCTAATCCAGCCTCATGACCTTCAAACGTACAGGGCGTCAGGGAGGCGCAGAAGGATTGCTAGCTCAGAGGGTGCAAAGCTGGGAAATTTATAGAGGTGTATTGTTCGCCTTGGCTCCCAGCTGGGTGGGTGAGGCTTGCACAAGTCACATGCTATAAAAGGGGCAACATGACCCCCTTCTGCTTACCATCGTGTGCTTCCACCTGGATCCCGTCCCCAGGAGATGGCAAATGAAGAGAAACACCCCGATTCCTGGCCGGGAGGGCCGCACCTGAAGAGCCCTCCTTATGTAAGTGGGGTTCAAGGCATGCGGACGGGACTTTTGGGATTGTTGACCGTGAGTTGTATTATCCGTCTCTTTCTGAACTTCTCAATTGGTTTGACAGTCTTTCCACTCTGGTCCGGAGCTAAGCAAGACTTCCACAGGGTCGAACCAAAAGCTGGTGATCCTGACAGTGGGTGCCGTCGCTGCTCTGTCCATCAGCATCACTGGAATCCTCGTGGCGACGTTCCTGGGACGAGCATTTTGTCTCCAGGTACCGGAAGGGAGGCATCAGCTGGACTGACCGACGCTGTGTCTGAAACGGCGCTAATTAGGACACTCGTTAAGAAGGGGCTTGAGTGCAGAGAATGTCAGGTTTATATTTCTGAGCTGGTCAGGTTAAAAGAGGGAGGTTACGCCCAGGAGCCCATGCATGATCAAAACACAGCATCAGCAAAGGCACTGATGGCAACATCAAAACTGCACATGCTGTCCCAATATTGTGAAGGAGCAAGATAACCCCTGAACAGAGGTAGGGATACTGCACCCCATGTTGGCTTCATAAAACAACCCAAACAGGTAATAATTTCAGCGCCTCTGGCGGGGGGTAAACCACAGTAAGGCATTGCTGCAAACGAGATTAAATAGGATTGTGCCTCGGTGAGTTAGCTGGCCTTTCAGTTGCTCCACTGGAGGGGTCCAGGTAGAAGCCTTGAACCCAGATCTGACAGTCTCCCTGCTCTCTTTTTCCCTTCCTGTGCTTGAAGAGGGCTGCCTTTGGCTCCCCTCCACAAGTCAACGTCCAAAATGAAGCGTCCCTGCTGCTGGCTCTCAGCGAATTCGACGGGCAGGGCCTGTCGCCAGGCATCACCTGTGATTTGAGAAACGTGAGTCACGGCATCGACTGGAGCTTCGAGGGGTGAACTGGGGTGGTCTCTCTGCCTTTCCCCCCCCCCTTTTCTGGCGCAGCCTCATTAATTTATCCAAAGTGCCCTGGAAGGACTGAAGGATTGGTCTTGAGAGTTTCCCCTTCAGCATCTCCAGAAATGGAACACACACCCCCCAAGGCTGAGCAGATTTAATTGAACGGTGGCGGGGTGCATTGTTTGGATCCCCTTTCGCCAAATGGGAGTAATGATCCCAGTAACGTGTAGGAGAGGAAACAAGAGGTGTTTACTTGGGGTTTACTTGGAGCAGAGACGATGCCAAACTCCTGTCTACGGGCTGTTTTCTCTCCAGCGCTTGATGGTGTATCACGGCCAGCCGGAAGGGTGTGTGACCCGCAAAATGGACCCCTCTGAACTGCTGCCGTCCTGCCAGGAGCTGGAAAGCTTCTTCCAAGCTGTCCTGGTAACTCTTTGGGGGTGGCAGGGATGCAATTTAATTCCCATTACAAAGAGCAGGTGCTCCCAAATGGTCCGGTCACCCTGCTTCTCGCCCTTCCTCCGGCGTTGGGAAGCAGAGAAACGGGGGCGAAGGGAAGGAGGGGTGACTCAGAGCCAAACACGCTCAACTGCTCCCCAATTCTCTTGCAGAAAAACGTCACACTGGGGATCACCGCAGAGGTACAGATGTTGGGGACGGGGGCGCTGGGAGGCCTGGTCACTTTGCTTTGCGGCAACAAGCCAACGTACCTTGTCGGAAGCTCGGCACGTAAGTTGCCTGGACGGGTCAGGGTGGACAAACGAGACCTCCCTGTGCATCCAGGTGGTGGGGGTGGGGGGAGGAACGCCATAACCCTCCTCCCCTCCAACTAAAGTCAAACCCTTTCTTCTTTTTTCACTTCCCCCCCCCCAGTGGCTTTTCAGAGAAGCAGAGCTGCTTAGGAAAAAGATCCCCCCAACCCCTTCCTGCTGAAATCTCCACCCCCCCCTCCCAATGGAAGAGGCCACAAGATGGTTGCACGGCCGTAGAGATCAAGCCACGAGACAGACCGTCTTCTGCTCCTTTGCCTTTAAAAATCGCTGAATTTGTAGCGCTTAATAAAGAAGAGAACGCGGAAGCATTTGGTCTGGATAATGTGACTCAATTAAACCTCTGCATTTCCAAAATTCCCAACTCTTAAAAGAGAGCACTTGGGAAGAGCAGGGAAGGCAGTAAGAGTCTGTTCACAGCCACTGATCTTTTAACTGTTCAACTAAAAGTAGGAGCCAGTCCGTTTTAGTAGACTTAACGAAGCTTAATCACACGCCAAAAGGGTTTGTGAACTGCAGTTCAACTCATCGGATGCAATTCCAGGCATCTTCCGATGTTTGGCTATCACAGCCTCACAGGGGTCTCCCTCCTGCAACTTTCATAAGGAAAATTACTCTATATGGTATATAGCTATATACTATAACTCAAAGTTATAGATCTGGATGGAGGTTTAGGAGCTGGGCACTCTCCAGCTTCAGAGGGACAACATTTCAGTTCTTCCAGCTCTTCCCGTCCATCAAGAGATGGAGCAGCTCAGGACAAGGTTTACACACCACGTGTAAACTGCTTGGGTTTGACCCCCCCTGGGGATACTTCAGGTGCTGCTTCAAAGAAACACACCAGTGCGGAGAAAATTTAAGGGTTTTATTAACTGTTGAACCAGAAGCAAAATGCGAAAAGGACCCCACCCACCCACCCACCCCTAGGGACCCCACGTCCCTGCAGACAGACAGCCCAGAAAGATTATGGAAACTGAACGTTACCAGACCACACAACCTGGCAGGTGTGTGGACACAAGGACAAGGAGGGACTCAGCCCCCTCCCCCCTCCCCCCCCCCCGCTCATTTCTTCTCTTCCTCCTTTTTCTCTTTGCTCTCCTTGTTCTCCTTAGAGGCCTGGGAGGCCAGCGAGCCCATAGCGTTGCGGATGGCCTCGTTGTTGGGGTCCACCCCCGGCAGGTTTTCCAAAACACTCTGGAGGAATTCAGGATCCTGCATCACATCATAATCGTCTTCTTCCTGAGGAAGGGGTCGGGGAGGGAGTCACATGACTGGGTTAGTCTGGGATTAGGGAGCAGACCACAATGGGAGGCCACCCCCACAGGCCTTCTGTAAAAGCTGGATGGGCAGAAGAGGAGAACAGGCCCAGGAACACGTACACACCCTGCCAGAATTCCCCCTCCTGCGTCGCTGCCATCCGAGAGTTCTCATTTATTTAAAATTAAAAAATGGCTTGGCCAGCTTTCCCCAAGCTGTAATGGCAGCCTTCAGTAAATGGAACCTGGGCCAGGGGGGATCCTGGCTCATGGGACCCTCCCCCCAAGTAATTCACCCTCTGGGTCTGGAGAGGGCCTTCAAGCCCAGCTTGGTCCCCCCCCAAAACTCAAACCTTGGCGGGTTCGGACGTGTCCATGTCAGCCGAGCTCTCCCCTTCCACCGACTCTGCTTGCCCAAACTCTGCAGAAAGAGGAAGGAGAGGATGGCGATGCAGGTCAAGCTTCCCAGCCCTGAATGACGGCCGTGAATGACAGCCTGCTGGGATCACCCCCTGTTCCCCCTGCCCCGCTCACCAGCTCCCTGAAGAGACATCTGCATAGCGTAGGCTATCTGCTCCTCTTCGGTCATGGTGCTCAGGTCCGGCAGACCGGCGCGGCCAAATTCCTGCTGCCCGATGGTCATTTTCAGCAGAGCGTCGTCTGAATCTGAGACACAGGAAAGGGGAGAGTCTTGGTGGGAGGGGCTGGGGTCTTCGAGGCCGCACCGAGCGAGGGTTGAAGGAGATGACTTACCATCCCCGCCCGTGGCGGGAATACCGGCCTCGGCAGCCGATGCGGCAGCTGCCCTCCGAGCCTCTTCCTCCTGACGCTGTCGCTGTTCCTCCATCGACACTCGGAGAGCCTGGAGGGGGGGAGGGGCAGGGGGAAACGTCAGCAGCCCCTTCCCCAGGGATGCTGGATGGCCAGACAGTTTGGGATCCGTTTAGCAGAATTCCTTAGACCACAGGGGTGTCCAACTGGTGGACTTCAGGCTCCCAGAATTCCCCAGCCAGCCGTCCCCAATTCTTAAAAGTTGCCACAATGGGACACCCTGGCTTTAAGACGACCATGGTTAACTCAGGCATTCTGGGAATTGCAAAGAGGTTTGGAGAAAGCAGAGGGCCTGCCTTACCAGTGCCAGCTCTGGGTCAGCACTGGGATCCACGCCAAACTCAAAGTCGCTTGCCCCCAGGCCCAGCATGGCTCCTCCCTCCCCAGCCAAGATGGGCGAGCTGATGAGGGCGTCGGCCAAGCTCGGCCCGGGAGGCACCGTCACCAGGTGGGAGCCGGTGCCATCTTTGCCATTCAGGGTGTTGATGAAAGCCGTCAGCTTGTCCGTGTTGGCCTCCTACAGAGCAGAGAGAGGAGGAGGAGGAGGAGGAGGAGGAGGAGGAGGAGGAGAAAGAGATTTGATTTTAGAACAGAAATTTGTGTATATTTATCGTGGTTTTTATTATCGCCTGTTTACTGCCCTGAGTCCCGTAAGGGAGATAGGCCGGTATATAAATTCAATAAATTAAATTAAATCAAATCAAATCAAGTAGTTAGGGAGATCAGCACAAAAACGTTGAGTTACCCAGCCAACCTTGGGGTCCCTCACCTCTTCTCCAAAGTTGATGATGTCCACGTTCACCTTCTCCTTTTTCAGCCGCTTGGCCAGTTTCACCAGCTGTAAATAAAAGATGCGTTTGGAGCAGACCCCTTTGAAGGGGGCAACCTGAGCCCAGGACAGGAGCTCCATCTGAGAATGCCGAGGTTGGAAAGTGGCCTTTCCTGAGGAATCCCAGCGAGGAACGCTGGGACTTGTAGTTCAGTGGCATCTATGAATATTTTATCTGAATTCTATTTAAACTATCCCTCGGGACGGGGGGATCCCATGTTTTCAAAATACGTTGGCAAACGCCAGGGATGCCCTTCGCGTCACTCACGTCCTTCTCGTTGTCTTCCACGGGACTCCCAACGAAGGCAATGATGCGCATTTTGTGGTTCTTCCCCTGGCGGTGCTTCAGAGCCAGCTGGGAAGGAAGAGGAGATTTAGGGGAGGGTCTGTGGCCACTTCCACTCCCCCCCCCTTCGGTCCAGCCCTTTGCTTTTTCTTAAAATCTACCCATCTGAGCTCAGGTCTCCTAGACCCCAGCAGGCACAGCCAAGGCAAGTGTCAGTGTGTTTGGGGGGGTCCCTCCCCCCTCCCCCTCCCCCCTCCTTCCTCCCCCCCCTCCCTGTCTGGGAGGACTCAGGGAGACCTGGGATCTGGGGGGGCACAGGGGGTCTTACGTGAGCCACTCGGATGCCGGTGCAGAAGGTGATCCTCCCTCGGGGCTGCACCGAATGCAGCTTGGACAGGATGCGGCCCGTGTCCGGCGTCAGCGTGGTCAGCACCTCGCAGTTGCTGCAACAAAGACAGAGGGGGGCAGGGTCAACAAAGCCCCCCCCTCCAAAGCAGACCCCAAAGAGGGGGAAGTCTGGGAAAGGCAGGGCAAGCAGGGAATAAAGGCAAAGGTGATAGAAACCCAGAAGGGTCCTCGGAGGTGATCTAGTCCACCCCCTTCCCCAGTTGCTGCAAGACAGACGGGGGGGGGGGTGGCAGGCTCAACAAAGCCCCCCCCCTCCAAAGCAGACCTGATTCGGGGAGCGGAGGGGGGGAGGAAGACCCGGCGAAGGCGAGCCAAGTGGGGAATGAGGGCAAGAGGCCACACAGAATCCCCGGGGCTGGGGGGACCCTGGGAGGCCATCCAGTCCACCCCAAGGGCCCCGGGTGTGGGGAGGGGAAAGGGGGGGACCCACTTGGCCAGCGTGATGAGCCCCACGTTGTTCTCGGGGTTGGAGCGGGTCTTGGAGTGGCAGACGATGTTGACGGCGTCCTGCTGCGCCTGCAGGCGGGTGGGCAGGAAGTCCCCGTTGCGCATGTACTCGCTGTTGTCCACGCTGCGGGGGGTGGGGGGACAGAGAGGGGGG